ACACATACAAGTCTTTGGTATTTTGTAGGCACTTGGTAATTTTTTTCTGTCTCACCATTTATTCCATTAGGCTGATGGTTCATAAACAGGCACCAAATACTGCACCTCTCTCATTGTGCTCACAGTCCAGCTGGGGTAATAAGACAAATGCTATAGAAAACAATAGTAACTGTATATATATATATATATTTATATACATATTTATATATTTTGAGCAGGGTCTCACTATATAGTGCTGACTGGCCTGGAACACACTATGTAGGCCAGGATCCCCTCCAGTTTAGCATTCTACATGCCTGCTTCTGCTTCCTGAATGCTGGGATTAAAGTATGTGCTACTTTGCCATGCTGAGCAATCCAATTTTGTGAATGCCAGTATGAAGGAAACAGAATAAACAACAAAGTTAAAGGAACTGGGTGAAAGGAGCAGTTGCTGCTGAAGAAATGGTTGGTGTTAAGTGAAGGAAAAATAAAGGACTTTAGGGCAGGAACCCCAGAGGCTGTAGAATGCTCTAAGAATTGTCAAAGCAAGCTAATTACGGCTGTTTGTCTGGCAAAATGGGGCAATAGTAGGTGTACTGGCTGGTTTTATGTGCCAACTTGATACAACCTAGCATCTTGAGAGAGGAAGGAGCTTCATTTGAGGAAATGCCCCCATGAGAGCCAGCTTGATTAGTGATTGATGGAGGAGGGCCCAGCCCATTGTGGGCGGGGCCATCCCTAGACTGCTCATCCTGGGTTCTATGAGAAAGTAAGTTGAGCAAGCCAGTAAGCAGCACCCTTCTATGACCTCTGCATCAGATCCTGCCTCCTGGTTCCTGCCCTGAATTCCTTTTGGTGATGAACAGCAGTGTGGAAGTATAAGCCAAATAAATCTTTTTCCTCTCCAAAGTAACTCTTTCCTCCCCAGCTTGCTCTTTGCTCGAGGTGTTTCATTGCAGCAGTAGAAACCCAAGCTAAGACAGTGGGGTGAAGATCTTGTCTAGGTAGAGGGCTGTGGGGACGGATGATGAGGTAAGGGAGAGGAAGAGGAGCCTAGCCTGGATTTTGATTTCCAGAGCTGGTGTTCTTTTCTATAGAGACCATTAAGAATGTTCCTGGGGACTTTGAGGATGACATTCATGGGGTTCAGTGGGTATTTGTTGAGTGATTTGTAGGGTAGCAGTGCAGAAAAGTGACATCTGAAAGTTAGAATCAACCACAACGGTAGGTCAGAGGGGCCCTTGGGAGAACCGTAACAAAAATGCCTTAGACTGAGTAATTAATAAATACGGGAAGTTCACTTGAGGTTGGAAGTCTGAGACTAAGTCACTAGATCAGTGGTTCTCAATCTTCCTGATACTGTGACCCTTTAATACAGTTCCTCACGTTGTGGTGATTCCCCCCAATCGTAAAATAATTCGTTGCTACTTTATAACTGTCATTTGGGTGCTGTTACAGAATTGTAATATAAATATCTGATACACAGGATATCTGATAAGTGACCCCTATGAAAGTGTTGTCTAACCCAAAGGGGTCTCAACCCACAGGTTGAGAACCGCTATACTTGAGGGTTTAGTATCAGGTCAGGCAGGTCTCTGTTTCTAAGGTGGCTCCTCAGTGTCATCTCCAGAATGGGGAAATACTGCATCCTCACATGGCAGAAGGGGCAGAAAGACAAGGGTGTAGGGCATACCCTGAGTCCTTTTTATAAGACACTAACCTGTTTACAAAGACTAAGCCCTCAGGGTCTAATTATCTCCTACAGGCTCTACCTCTTAATACCCTTACAGAGGGCCTTAGGCTCCAGTATGAACTTTGTAGGAGACACAGTTTCGAATCACAGCAGTGCTAGAGTAAAAGCTGTCAAGGGTGCTTACTGATTTCTTTTAAGTAGTCTTTCTATTCCCCTCAAATGGTTTTGTTTTAATTTATGCGCATTGATGGGTGTTTTGCCTACATGTCTATCTTTGTGAGGGTGTTAGATCCCCTCGAACTGGAGTTCAGACAGTTCTGAGCTGCTATGTGGTTGCTGGGACTTGAACCCAGGTCCTCTGGGAGAGCAGCCATTGCTCTTAAACAATGAGCCATCTCTCCAGCCCCTTGGATGCTGACTTTTGGAAGAAAAAATATGAATAAGTTTTAATTATTTAGGAGAGCAATAGGAAAAGTCTGATATATTAAGGTAGACTCAATAATCAGGTAAACCTGGACTTGGTCAGAGAGTTCCAGTTCTCAAATAAATACTCAGAGGCTTATCAATAAGTATAATTGTTTGGCCAATGGTTCAGGCATGTTACTGAACAGCTCTTACAATTAAATTAACCAATTTTTACTAATCTGTGTATCACCACGTGGCCATAGCTTAGTGGTAATGTTCTGGCATCTAACTTCTTCAGCAGCTACGTGGTGTCTTCTTGACTCACCTTCTTTCTCTTTGTATCTCTGTTTGGATTTCCTGCCTGGCTCTGTCCTACCTGGCCAGTGGCCAAATCAGCTTCTTTATTAACCAATGGTAATAAAACATATTCACAGCACACAGAGGGGGCATCCCACATCAAGTTAGACGCCGGTCTTGAAAGCTATGGGTCCTAAGAAATGGACGGTTGTAAGACGATTCTGGATGAAATTGGAAGGTTCACATAACCATGCTGGGATGTAGCCAGAGGCAGAGGCCCTCCTTAGAAACCCTGGAGCATCTCTCTAGCTCCTTTCAATATGATGACAACAGAAGTTCTGGGCAGATAGGTGCTATGGTTTGGGCCTGGGGTGTCCTCCCAAGGCCAGTGTATGGGAGGCTGGTTCCCAACCTGGTGCTGTTGGAAGGTGTAGAGTCTTGAGTAGGGGGCATCTTAAAGGTCTTTGGGTCATTTGAGGGTCACTCTCTGTTGCTTCCTCTCTCTTTTTTCTCTTTCTGGAAAAGTTATTTATTTTCTTAGTTATTATTGTTCTCTGGATGCACGATGATTAGAGGACAACTTGGTGGAGTGGGTTTGGCTCTTCTAACCTTTACAGTTGGATCCCTCTGGCCACCCAACTCAGGCTGTTTGGTTGCATAGTAAGTGCCTTTGTCTATGGAGTCATCTTCTGTCTCCTCTCTCTCTCTCTTTTTTTTTTCTCTCCCTGGCTCTGAGGTGAATGCTTTTTCCTGCCATGATGTGCTGTCTCATCACAGGCTCAGAGCAATGGTGCCGACTGATGACAGGCTAGAACCTACAAACTTTGAGCCCAAACCTCCTTTTTCTCTTTATAACAGATTCTCTCAGGCTCTTGTCATAGCAACAACTAACATGTTGGGCAGTCTCACAGCATTTTTTTAATATAAAAAATGAAGCTCAAGAAAGGAGTTCACTAAACCTCTAATGTCTAGAAACTTCTCCCTAATCTAGGAGACACAGGCTAGTATGGAGTAAACACACTGAATTCAGTTACTAGGAGGTATGGAGAGGTCTCAACAATTAAAGTGATAAAAAAATAAAAGACTGGACACCTCAGCATGTTTCCCAGTGTCCGCAGATAAGTCAATACTGAGCAAAGCCACCTTCAAACAAAGATCCAAGAGTGTAGCTCTAGGAACTAAATGGGATTCTACAGCAAGAGTACCCAGTTCCGAGCAGTGTCCGGGCTGTTTCTTTTACTTTACTTGTTACTTCCCACTAGGGAAGAGAGGTGACTGTGGGCCAAAAGACAGGAGAAATCCATCTTTCTAGAATAGAGTTGTCATTATGTTTTTTCTAAATAAATTCAGGAAAGTATTCCAACCTGGACCTTGCTGGGACTCAATTCCTCGTTACATTGCTGAGTTACAAGTATCGATGTTGTCACCCAGGACAGTTTGTCAAGGACTCCTTCTTTTCCTCTGCTGGCTTAGCTATTTCTTGAAGCTGATGAAATACCTCATACTTGTGTCGTGGCTGGGTCAAGCACATTCTTTCTAGGGAATTCAGAATAGTGGTGGGAATGACAGGATTTAAAAATCTGATATAGAGCCTGCCAAGTTTCAAATGCTATGCTTTTTTCTTTCTTCTTAATGATGTAGCATGTGTATCAGAGTCCCGAATGCACCCATTGAAATTTCCAGTTTCTTGTGTGCCAGAACAACTCACAGGGCCAGGGATACATACCGATAGAAGTGGGCAGCTTGTTAAGAAAGAAAAGCACTTCCAAAGTGAGCAAGTGAGCAAGAAAGGCAGACAGGCGGATACTGAAAAGCACTGCACTGTGTTGTTGATCTTGATAGGTTAATGTACATGGCACCCTGTCCTCTGGGTCAGGTAGCACCTCTTGGGGGAAGAAACTTGATTTGGTAAGGAGGGCTTTCCAGTCTTCTCGACAGCATCATTTGTTCGTAGTTAATCCTGATGCCCCTGCTCTCCCAACCCCAGGAACTCATTCTACAGCTTCAAACTCATGATTCTCCTGCCTCTGTGTCCTGAATACTGGGATTACAGGTGTGCTCCACAATAACCGGGCTCAAATTTCCGGCAATTTAAAGAAGGCAGGTTGACTGACCCAAGGACCTAGTGACTGAAGTCCTCAGGGTGCCAGCTCCAAGCACGCTCGTGCTCATTCTTTCAAGGACATCTGTATCGACATTTCAAAGTGACTAGTGGTGGGAACATGCACCCACCACTAGTGCTGAAGCCACAGCCACCAGAAACAATAAACTGGGGGCTACGGTCAGGATTGGCCCACTAAGTCCACTTCCGAACAGCACTTTCTGAAGTTGGGACCGTCCTATTGGAGACCCAGGCACTTCAAGGAGGAGAGCAGAAATCGTAAGGGTTTAAGGCGTAATGCTTTTGACAGAGCACACTAAGGGGACCAAGCGCCAAACTGACTCCAAAACCTTGCTATTTAAAGCAGTTGTGTGTACATAATGCCCTGGTTTGATCAAAGGGTTGGGCCACACAATCCAGGCAACAGGAAAGCTGACAAGTGGGGGAAGGGCCTTTTGTGCTGGAGGCCTGGAATCCGGATGCCCTGGTGGGCGGGGCGCTGGCTAAATCGGGGCGAAGCTGAGGCCCAGCGGGCCCCTAGCCTGCCTCCCCTGCCCGCTGTGCTGTCCACACCAAGAAATCGGGAGGGAGCCTGCCTCCCTGCCCCTGCCCCAACTCTCCCACCCAGGCCCATCTCCCTCAGTACAATTCAGAAACATCCCCCTTTCTGCTGTAACCTCTGCCTGAATTCTTGTATAATTCTACCATCAGAAAAGGTAAGTGCCCCGATTTAACACTTGGGGCCTTTCTCTCAGCATGTGGTTTCCTGAACAAATATCCCTCTATCCTCAGGTCACATTCTTGGCCTTGTTGTTTCAGGTGCTTGATAACTCTAGACGAAGGACAGCCTGGCTAGCCTGCAAGCGAAAGCCTAGCTTCCCATTCCTAGCAGCCCACTTTCCTCTGCCCCCCCCCCCCATCTTTGGCTGAGTCTTCTGTCCTGGCCTCTTCCTATGAATCGCACCACCCCCTCTCCTGCCGCCTTTTTCTTCATCAAAGCGGTTGCTCGGAAGGTCCTACTTCAGATGCCTGCCCCTGGTGCCCTCACCCTGTTCACTATCTAACTTTCCTTCTGGTCCCCTGCTTGTCCAGCAATGTCGGCACACAGTAATCGTTTTTTTATTCTCAACAGTCTCCAAGTGAAGATTGCAACTTTGTAGACAAGCTTTATGAAATTATGGCCTCTGATGTGTTCAGGACCACACACACACACACACACACACACACACACACACACACACACACACACACACACACACACACACACACACCACAAACGACAGTGACCTGCGCTTTAGACCTTATTTTCATAGAAACATAGAATTTTAGGCTTGATATACTAACTGCTGGCCCGACAGCAACATGCACACTCATGGCTGCCCTTCCAATTTGTAAGTTGTTGGGATGGTATTCCCCCTCTGCCCTACTAGGCACATGTGGAAAAGGTAAGTTTGGGTAGCTTTCAGGATTGTGCCAAGGTGGTGAGAGGTCTGGTAGAGATCCAGTATGGCTTAGGGAGATGCTTACCACAAAAGGAGGCAGCTCTAGGTGACTGCCAATCCCACTGGGTGAGAATAAGACCACTACTGCAATTTCTGAGCCAAAATTGAAGCAAGCTTTATTAAATATCAGCCAGGATGATGGACACCGGGCCAGGTCCATACCCAGATTCCCAGGGCGTTACATTAGTCAGATGCTTATAAAGGCAAAACTGGCAGGCCACGTACTTCCTGCCTCTGTCCAATCCTGAGCGGCTTCCTGCCTACGCACCTCCCACCCGTGTGTGATATGCATCCTCTGTGCAGTTGCAGCAACCAGACGTGTTTACACAAGTGGAAACGTGGCTTGTTATCTTACATGAACAGCTCCCAGCCCTCCAGAAAGTTCTCTGTTCTTGTCCATGTGGACATCTTTGTTTTTATAGATCTTTAAACACATTAATTAAAACTTAAGAAATAACTTTAGCACTCACAGTGACAGTATCTAGTGTAGGTCTAAATGTAGCTTGGGTCTATGAGCCTGAGTGATAATTTGATTCAGGGGATATCTCCTGACCTGTCTTTTTTCTTCTTGTTTTTACTCCAAAGCTTCTAACATGTTCAGTGTTGTTCAAAACAAAACAAAACAAAACAAAACAACTTCTCTTCTTCCAGATTTATGTGCTGGGCTTCCTTCTTTCCTTCCTTTCTTCCTTCCTTCCCTCCCTCCTTCCTTCCATCCTCTCTCTCTCCCTCGTTCCCTCCCTCCCTCCCTCCTTCCCTTCTTTCTTCCTTCCTTCCTTCCTTCCTTTCTTTCTTTCTTTCTTTCTTTCTTTCTTTCTTTCTTTCTTTCTTTCTTTCTCTTTTTCTTGACTTTTAAGGATAGGTTTTCTCTGTGTAGCCTTGACTGTACTGGAACTCACTTTGTAGATCAGACCGCCCTCAAACTCACAGAGATTCACCTGCCTCTGCCTACCGAGTGCTGGGATTAAAGGCACACGCCACCACTACCCAGCATGTTATGTTGAATTTCTAAAGCAGGAACATAACCTTATTTGAAGATGGTTGTTTTCCGTCTCAGGTGACTAAGGATCCTTAAGATGTCTCAGTGGGTGAAGGTACTTGCCACCAAACGTGATAACCTGAGTTGGATCTCTGGGACTGACACTGTGGAAGAAGAACACAGAGTCCTGAAAAATACCCTCTTATCTTATCTTCATACATGGGCCATGGCACACACATCCTCCCCACTCCAAAAGAAAAATAAATGAGTAAATAAATGTAATTGAGAGGTTTTGAAAAGGCACTAAGTTAAAGAGTTCATTTAGGTGGGTCTCAATGCAATCCAGTCAGTGTCCTTAATGAGAGACAGCAAGTAGAGCACAGACCACCTGAACAGACAAAGGACTGTTCAAGGACACAAGAAGGTAGACTTTCTAAAGAGATAGGCATTAGAAGAAACATTCATCTGAGGCTCCCCACCAATGGACTATGAAACAATCAACTTTTGCTCTTCAAGTCACCCTGTATGTGACACTTTGTTGCAGTAGACCTAGCAAACTGTTGCAAACAGTGGTATTTCAAGATGGTGTGAAATAGATCAGACAATAGATCAGATAGAGATTTCCGAGCGAGAAGTAGCTAGCTAGCTGTTGTGCCTCTCGACAAGTTTCTTGGTTCTTACTCCTTGTTCATGGTCAAACAGTAGCTGTTCAGCCTGTGTATCCTGTACACTTACCTCATACCTCACACTGTGCTAGAAAATGAACAGATGCCAAATGTGTAGGGTGACATTTTGCTGTCTAGACGATATTAGCACCACACTGGCCGTGCATGCATGCAGATGAGGGAGTCTCCAATACAATTGCCTCACCAGGGCTTAATGGTCCCATTACAGTATGATTTGTCTTCTTTTGCTGCTAGTTGGATAATTAAGGCACTAGCTGAAACCATATAAAATTGCCTTTTGATGTAGGTTAAAAAAGAATGGAAGTAAATGCAATGTGGAAGCTACCCTGCATTCTAGGCAACATTATTGGGGGGAAAAACCCAAACAACGCATCTCATTAAAGACTTAACATGGTCCTGAAACTTTCCTAAAGTTTTTCCACTTGGCCTTGATTATGTAACATGGACACTGGAGAAATTGATTGAAAGGTGTTAGAACTCTTTGCAATTTTTCTATAAACCTCAAGAACCTTCAATTATTTTAGAGTTCAAAATTTACTTATAAAAGTGTTTGAGTATTAATAATGGTCTTAACACAGTTTAGGTAAAATCCAGAGCTCTTGTATGCAAAGCTGGCCAAGGCCTTTTAACTGCACAGTAGTGAGAGTCATCACTGGAATTCAAGTGTGCTTCATCTAGAGATGGGTCAACGTGATTGATGGACCTTTTTGCCCTGGGATCTCTGCTCCTGGACCTCTGGCTGGTTTAGTGTAGCTTGAGGCTCTTCAAGGAGTAAAACCCAGGGGCCATTCATGACAGAGCAGGACTTTTCTAATGACACAGAGGGGAAGCCACTTTCTTGAGGACTGTGTTATTGGAATGGCCAACTCCATCTGTCCTTGGTCAACTGGACATTAACCCTTTATCCCAGGAGAATAGTTACGTTCATGTATGTTCCTCCTTCTGTTTTGGGGACTCCTTACTTCCCCTTTGAATCATAAGAGAGGATTATGCCTTATAAATTGGGGAAGATTCTCAATTTTTTTAAATAGGTAAAAGAACCTTTTTTTCTTATTTCACAAGTTGAAAATTAACCCTTAATCAGACCAGTATCAGCTGAGAGAATAGTCGGCTTTGGCTGGCAAGTGGATGTGTTCATAATTTATGTGTGTGTGTGCTCATAACTTGTGAGAATTTGTTGCCATGTGGGGTGGTGGTGATGCGCGCCTTTAGTCCCAGCACTTGGGAATCAGAGGCAGGTGGATCTCTGTGAGTTTAAGGCCAGCCTGGTTTACTGAGCGAGTTCCAGGACAGGCTCCAAAGCTACAGAGAAACTCTGTCTCAGAAAAACCAAAAAAAAAAAAAAAATTTGTTGTCACACTTGGAAAATGAAAATGGGCAAGTTGCATAGAAACAGATGTTTGCTGTCTCTTATGCAATTGGAAGCTCACCAGCAGAAACTCATGCTCTCTTTCAACCACCGTGGCCTCTCTGTCCTCTCACGGTCTCCATACAGCTGTCTTCATCATTTGCCCACTCTAGAAACAGGTGAATTTGCCATCTGTTTTAGTTACTTTTCCTTGTTGCTGTTACAAAATTCTCCGACCAAAGCAACCCAAGGGAAAAGGGTTTATTTAGGTTTGCAGTTGGAGGGTACAGTCCATCGTCATGGCTGGGATGCCAAGGGGACAGGGTTTGGAGGGTCTGGTCACATCTCATCCATAGCCCCTAGCCAGGGAATGGTTTTGTTCAGATCACTTTCTCCTTAATCACTCTAGAATGCTAGCCCAGGGAATGGTACCTCCCACTGTGGGCAGGTCTTCTCACTCCAGTTTAATCTAATCAAGATAATCCTCTACAAGCATGCTCAGAGGCTGGTACCCAGGTGATTCTACATCTCACCTTGTTGACAGTGGAGATTACCTGTCACACCTCCCTGGCTGCAGCTAAGTAAGTGCTATTCAAACTGTGGTTAATCCTTTTTGTGAAACAAACAGACAAACCCTCAGCCCTGTGCTTTAGATTCAGCTCTAGAAGAAGGACAGGAGAAGGAGGAAGAGAGAAGGAAAAAAAAGAAACAGCAAGTTCTTATAGAAAACAACCAGAATTAATAGCATATGGGAGGGGTCAGTGTTATTGTATGATTTTCTCAGTTGTGTTTGTGTGTGTTAGATTGCAATATAAAATATATTTTTACCTGTGAGTTGCAATAAAGACCTTTAAAAGATCACGATTAATTAGAAAAGCAGTTCATTAGGCATATTTGCTTCCTGTATTTGTTAACATTACCCCTAAATTACCTGAGAGGGGTAGGCACTTGTTGCGAACACATAGAATTTGTGTTCACAGGAAAACATGAAGACCCATAAGAAACTTACAGCGAAGAATAAAAATATCTAATTGAAATGAAAGGAAGGGTAAAACTGGATGTTCCAAGAAACACCCACCAAACTGTCCAGTTCTAGTTTCTCTGAGGTAGGTTAGATGTGTTAAATAATAATTGGATTTATTTGCATAGGTTGTATATCTGCAGTATCTGGTAGAACGTTCTGTGATGATAGAGATGATGGAGATGATGGAGATCCACACAGGATCCACACATCCAATGTGGCAACCACCAGCCACATGCCACATTCAATATGGTGACCACCAGCCACATGCCACATTCAATATAGTGAGCACCAGCCACATGCCACATCCAACATGATAACCAATAACCACATGGCACATTCAATATGGTGAGCACCAGTCATATTGCTACTCTTGTGTACTTGAAATGCACTTAGTATAGCTGAAGACTTGTATTTAAATTTAAAGTTAAGGGACTGGAGGGATGGCTCAGTGGTTAAAAGCACTGACTGCTCTTCCAGAGGACCTTGGGTTCAATTCCCAGCACCCACATAACAGCTCATAACTGTCTGTAACTCCAGTTCCAGAAGACCAGATAGCCATGTCAAAACACCAGTGTTCATAAAATAAACATAAATAAAATTTAAGACTAAACAAACAAACCTGGATAATATCTACTATACTAAGTAACATCACTCTAGACCCTAAAAAAATAAATGGGAAAAAGAATGACTCTTGTTTTCTATAGGAAAACAGGTCTGACAGAGATCTAGTGATAGCCTAGATTAAAGGTTTATACTTTTAATTCCAGGAGGCAGAGGTAGGCAGATCTCTGAGGCTGAGGCCAGCCTGGTCTCTTGAGGGAGTTACAGGACAGCCAGGGATACATACAGAAACTCTGCCTTGAAAAAAAGAGAAAGATAGGAAGGAAGAAAAGAAAGGAAAAGAAATCCAGTGATTAGGCAATTGTTACCAAAGAGTGTGGCTAGCATTCAGCCTGCTGCTGTGTTTTTGCTTTTGTTTTGTTTTTGTCAAGGTTACTGTTATCAGAAACTAACACAACCCATGAAATTATGAGACCTCACTGAATTTTGATTTTTTTTTCAAATTGTAAATCATTCAGGTACCTTATGTGGTTTGAATGACACTGATTGATTTTATTGATTTATTACTCAGAAATTATACTGGCAACTGTAAGAGCAACAATAAAAGCAGTGAAAATGGCAGCCAGGACAGGAGCCACCAACCAAGCATTCTACTTGGCAATGTGATTGACACTGAGTAGTTCATCATCTTTCACCACAGTCCTGTGAGACAGAAGACATTATCTTAGCCAAGGACGGATGCCTGCAGAGGTTAACGAACATAGTCACTTTGGTAATGAATGGATGAACTGCAGTCTGGTGGAAACCCAATCATCATCTAGCCACTGTTGTGTCCTAGAGAATGCTAACCAGCTGGGCTTCCATCAGCCCAGTGTTTCCTGAACAAGACCTTGCCCAGGCTGATACATTCATGACCAGGTTAGGGCCAGGGCATGGGTCCTGTGATTTGCAGTGTGTGTAACATTCCTTTTTTAAAAATGTATTTATTTATATTTTATGTACATAGGTGTCTTGCCTGCACATATGTCCATGCATGTATGTGCACACAGGGGTGTCAGATCCCCTGGAACAGGAGCTACAGATGGTTGTGAGCTGCCGTGGGGTGCTGGGAATTGAGCCCCCATCCTCTGGAACTGCAGCCAGTGCTCTTAACCCCTGAGCCATCTCTCTAATCCCTGTGTACTACAACGTTCTTAAGTGGTTTCAACCACATTGCAGGAACATGCTTATGGCCTCACTGAGACCTAAGCGGTTTTACTTTAAGGACCCCTGTCTCCATATTACTAAAAATTATATCTTTCTCTGATATTACAAACACAATACATTGGGGGCTGGAGAAAACTCAGTGGGGCTCACAACCACCTCTAAGTCCAGCTCCAGGGGATCTGACGCCCTCTTCTGGCCTCCATAGGCAACTTCATGCATGTACAAGTATACCCATAGATACACACACACACATCAAAAACCAACAACAAAAATAAATCCTTAACAAATGTACAGGTATTCTTAGAATCGTTTCTCCTACCTAAAGCTTTGTGTTTTTTCCCTTTGTAGTTTTAAAAGAACTGGGAAGTTCTCCATATAGTAGGGTGAAGAATGACCTATTCTCTGCAAAAGATGGTAGTAGCATCTTAATTTCCAGAACCAGTGTGTTTGTGGGTAAGACTTTACTAAGACCCTTAATGTAGGAATATTTCCCTGGATTGTCTCATAGAATCACAAAAGTTTTAAGGGGATGTGAGATCTGGCAATGTAACAATGGAGGAAAATGACAAAGCATTAATGGGCAAGTAAAACAGAATGGAAAGGAGTCAACAGTCAAGGGACGCAGGTAGCCCTAGTGCTTGAGTCATGGGAGTGTGATGAAGGAGACATCCAGGAGAGTCTTCACATTTCCAGTCCTCTTCCCAAAACTCACTGTGAATCCCCAGTGTGAGGCTCCCAGCCATGATGGGTTAACGACTTATCTTCTAGCTCAGGTCTATCAGAAAGGTCAATTAGTCTCTGTTTTTCATGCTCCTCTCTCACCATGTGGTTCCCTGCACTGTGGAGTCCCCAATAACGAGAAGCCTCTTGCGTTGTGGCTCTCAGCTCCTAGTATCTAGAGATAAATAAAGCTTTGTTCATCAAAAAGTACCAACCCTGGGAACTGGGGAGATGGGTTCCATTGGTAAAGAGCTTTTCTGTAAGACCTCAGACCCCAAGTAAAAAAAGCCAGGTTTGGTGGCTATGGTCGTAAGCATAGTGCTGGGGAGGCAGCGAGGGACGGACCCCTAGGCTCACTGGGTGTGGGGTGGACCCCTGGGGCTCACTGGCCTGGACAGCCTAGTCTAATTGTTGTGCTCCAGCCCAATGAGAGACTGTCTCAAAAAGGGAGTTGGGTTGGGTGGAGATGGCTCATTAGTTAAAGTGACCAGAGTTCAGATCCCTGAACCTACATAAGTGCTGAGTGGGAGCAGTGGCTTCATTGCAATTCTAGCTTTGGAATACAGAGACAGGAGATTCCTGAAACAAGCTAGCTAGTGACACTAGGTACTTGGGTAAGCTCTGGCTTCAGTTGAGAGCCAATGCCTCAATGAAACAGGTGGAGAGGGGTTGAGCAAGATTCCTCAGATCAACTTTGGAACCCCAGCCTTGCATGCACATGCAAAAACACATACACGCACATCACACACACACACATGTACACCATAGATACACACACATGCACACCACACACACATGTACACCACAGGTACACACAAATGCACATTACGTATACACACCCATATGCACATCACACACATATGTGAAAATAAGGAGGGGAAAGATGAATGGCTCCTGAGGAACACCGCCAGCAGTTGACCTCTGACCCCCACATACCCTATGCACATTCACGCATGCGAGAGCGCGCACACACACACACACACACACACACACACTATCTATTCTATGGCACTTATTCACAGGAACAACGGACTAAGACAACCCCCTCTTAGTAGTCATCCACCAATGTCTAGAAGTTCACCATTGCACCCTCCTCCCCCTGCCGTTTCCAGCACTAAAGACACTGTCCGTTGTTCCTATCTGCTGCCCCTAACCCGAGTGACTGAAACTGTACAGGCTGCATTCCCGAGAAGGAAAAGGTCTGGGAAGGGGCCCTGAATGCGAAGGAAAACAGACTGAGACAAGGCGGACCCAGAAAGCAGTGCAGAAGTGATCCTGAGGATGCCGGGGAAGGAAGATGGGGTGAGACAGGAAAATGAAAACAGACGTGCGCGAAGAAGCTGGACCGGACAATCAGCGAGACTTGTGCAGACCCAGGAGGGAAAACAGAAACCCAAAACTTGTGCAGAGTTGACCTTGAAACACCTGTGGCCGTCTTTCTGCACCTCACATTGCTGCACGCCAGGAGCTCCACTTGGCCCGGGTTGCAATTTTTCACTGTTTGCAATTTCCCACTGTCTCAAAACTGCAGCTGACAATACAGTGCTCTCCTGCCTCCCCATGACCCATGATGTTCACAACCCCAGTTCGGAGGCCCCTGATCAGTCTCAGGCCTGTCCTTGTGATTGTTTAAGCCACTTATCTTCAGGAACAAGAGTGAAGGCTCGAGTTTATAGATAATCTCTGTTGTCTAGGGTGTGGCTTGTTGTCTAGTCTAATGTGTATAGGCAGTTGGTACCGTTGACATTTTCACTTCTGGATTTCCCTTGTTAAAGAACTTAAGGGGTCGGGTAGCTCAGTAGTGGGTATGCTTTCCTAGAATGTGTGTCAGGCTCTGGGTTCAACCGACAGCACTGTGAAATAAATAAAAAGAACTTAAAAATGAAAAAGAGAAAGTTCTTAAATACATATGGATAGGAACTGCGTGTGTTGGATGTGAGCGCACAATATGTGGATATACACACAAGAATGTATACATATACACTCATATAAAGTGTCTGTATTCAGAGTTCCAAGAAACTAAGAATCAATGTGCTCGTTATTAAACCCAGATTACCATTTTAACTTCTGCTTTTATTTTCCAGAGATTTATTTATTTCTATTTTATGTGTGTTGGTGTTTTGCCTACAAGTATATCTGTGTATGTATACGAAGAGCTCAAGGAAGCCAAAAGGTACTAGGTCCCCTAGGGCTGAAGTTACATGGTTGTGAGCTTCCGCGTGGGTGCTGGGAACTGAAGCCAGGTCCTTTGGAAGAGCAGTCAGTGCTCTTAACTGCAAGCCATCTCTCCAGACCCTCCATTTTCATTTTAGAGGAGACCTCGTAGCTAAGCGTGTCACCAGCACTTGGCAGGGGGACTGTGAGTTCAAGGTCAGCCTGAGTTACATATGGATAGAAAGAAAAGAAAGAAAAGGAGAGGCATTACTTAGCTCCTAGTTGATTAGCTGGGAACATACTTACAGGACCCTTCCCTTTGCTTTTAATCTCAACCCTTTCAATTGACTTTTGCACATATAATCATTCATTTGTGCCAGCTTTATCTAGCCATTTTTAAGCCTTTTTTTTGCCCCTATGACTTTTAATTATTCCCCAAATTTTGCTTGGTATGCTGATATACCTAGGGGACTGGGTTTAGCCTCTTCGACCCTCTCTTTCTGAGTTGATACTGGGTGGTCCTCCAGTCATGTCTGGAGTTGAGGTATCACCAGCAGCTCTGGTTTGTGTATTTCACACATTTCTCTTTTTCCACCCCAGTCGAGGATGTTGAGATACCGTCCTTGGCTTCCTTTTAAGTGACTGGTTATTTTTCACATGGATGGTATCTATGCAGCATCTCCCTGGACATCAAAAGTATGTCTGGATGAGCAAACAATCTTTTTTTTTTTTAGAGTTTTGGATGGAATTTTTTTTGGGGGGAGGGGGAACGTTCTCAGACAGGGTTTCTCTGTGTAGCTTTGGAGCCTGTAGACCTGGCTGGCCTCGACCTCATAGAGATCCACCTACTGCTGCCTCCCTGGTGCTGGGATTAAAGGTGTGTGCCACCACCATCTTTAAGAATCTGATCTGCCCTGTTAGCATTTTCCACTAACTTGTGAGCAGAAACCATCACAGGCTTCGCAATCTGCTTAGTGGGGTTGCTTGTGGAGCCTGAGCAGCGGCCGTTGAGGTCCTTAGATGTCTGCTTAGACTTCTTTCCTCCCCTGACAGCCCCGATGGTTTGCTTTCGTCCAGCTTTTCTACTTCCAGTGCTTTTCTACCTCTGCTTTCTGATCCTTTTTGGCCATTACTTCAGCAAGCGACGCACCCGCTGGACTCCGTGGGTAGGATTCTTTGCTTTAGCATTTCTTTTAACTGACCCTTTTTGTGCTTTCCTCTGTAGAGGGTAGCCCTGTTTCTGTTCAGGGTTCCTCTTGGAAAACAACAAAGACCTGCTTTTTGCAATAAGAAACTGGAAAAACCTCCCATCAAGTCCTGAGTAGTGGAGTCCGCTGTGCCACTCAACTATTATGCAAGAGTTGGCTGCCCAGGAGGAGGAAAGATAGTGAAGAGAGAAGCCATGGTTGATTTCTGTTTCCCATGCCCTGAACTGGAGGGCAAAAGAACTGCCTTCAACATTTTTTAGACAGTTCATTTAATAAGCGATCGCACTAAGCACACACACGCATTCATCCACACACGCATTCATCCATGCGCACGCATTCATCCACGCACGCACGTCATGGCTGCTCTGCAAGGCTGCTCTGCAGTTTCCTTAGGTTAATTCTGCCTCAGAGCTACGAATCGGGCAGATAAGCACTCTCTTGTAGCTAAAGTGACTCAGCACTCACACAAAGTCACACATCTGCGAGGAAAGGGGAGGTAAACTGAGGCAGTAAGATCCTGTATTCGAACTGTTATCCACTACGCTAGAGAGGAAAAATGACCACAGGTCTTTTATTTCTCTGTAAGGAGCAATCAGTGTCTCCAGGACAAACATCACATTTTTGTCTTTGTTCACAATGGATTTGATGCTGTTTTTGTTTTTTTGTTATTTTTCCTCTCAAAGTTTTGTATAAAACATTTTGCAGCTCCCGGGAATCACCAAGTCCAAGCCCTGTGTTCCGATGTTCCATGGAATCTTGCCCTTTCTTAGGCAGAGTCGGGGGGCTGGGTTCATTGTTTGGGGAACTCTGGTGTCTTCTGCATCTCTTTTCACTGCGCCTGTCGTGTCCACCCTGCTGTAAGTATGTCCTAAGTTTGGTGTTTTGTTTTGTTTTCCATCCATTTGCAAACCCCATTCATGTTTTGAGAGTCACACCCTTTTCAACAAAGCATACTCAGATGCCGTGCATGAATTAGAATGTGACCTTTACCAGTGAAACGAATTTTGAATCACAGGAAGTAATACATTGTGCAAGGACATAGACATCCGTCTTTTTTTTTTAATGTAAACCATTTCCTATGAAGAGCGGTCAGTGTCTAATGAAGTTCTTTAAGAGGGGACGAGAAAGACTCCAGAAAGATTAGAGAATTATCCTTGCCCTGTCTCTGATTTACTCCTCACAGAGTCATACTGCAGATGCAGGTGGAGGTTGAGGATTCTTACAGGAAATGGCCAAGGGTGTTCCTGTCAATCAGTTAACACTGATCAGATGTCAGTGTGGGCTGGACTCCTGGTTGCAAGGTTCCAGACTATGGACTGGATTCCACTGGTGGACCTTGACGTCAACGTAGAAAGAAATAGAAAAATAAAAACACAGAGAATAGAGAACATCATTGATCATAGCACAGTGTGGAAGCTGGGTGGTTTCGGGATGCTCTCTTTAAAGGTATTTGTGGGAAGAATGTGTGGACCAAGTCACAATGTAAAATGTTTTCTCAACCTTCCTAATGCTGCGACATTTTAATACCATTCCTCATGTTGTGGTGACCCCTAACTATAAAATTTTCATTGCTAGTTCATAACTGTCATTTTGCAACTGCTATGAATTGTAATGTAAATATCTTCATTTTCCAATGGCCTTAAGTGACCCCTGTGAAAGAGTCAGTCAACCCCCAAAGGGGTCGAGACCCACAGGTTGAGAACTATGTTCTAGAGAGTCTGAAGAACACTACTCCACGAGTAAACTCAGCTTCTGAGAACTTGAAGCCTAAGGAAAATGACCATTCTTCAGACTCCAAAATGTATAGGGCTTTTATAGAGAGAGCCAGGAGAGTAACAGGGAGACTTGAGAGAGTCGCTTACAAGGGGAACAGGTAACTGGAGTCTTCTTGTTGATAAGAGCAGAATCTCGAGTGGAGGTCAAAGCCATATTCTGAAGGCAGAGTTGAGAGTCTAGAGGATGGAGCGGTGGATGTTGCAACCATGTGGGCCAGGAGAGGAGTGCCTAGGCTATAAATAATGGCTGACGGTGTCCCGAAAGAAGGGATCGGCTACAGGAAGGAGCCAGTGGATGAGACCTAAACTGGAATCCTAGATGACAACTGGCCAAAACAGAACCACTGGTGTTTTGTTTTGTTCTGCTTTTTCAAGACAGGGTTTCTCTGTGGCTTTGGAGGCTCTTCTGGAACTAGTTCTTGTAGACCAGGCTGGTCTCGAACTCACAGAGATTCACCTGCCTCTGCCTCCCGGGTGCTGGGATCAAAGGCGTGCACTACCATTGCCTGGATTTGCTTGGTATTTGAAAAGTTTGGTATTTATGAAGTTCTCATTTAAAAAAATCTATTTGTCAGAAAACAGAAGACCTGAGTCTGCTGAGCCTGCATTAGAGGTTAGCATGATCAGCTGAGTCTGAATATCTCTCACTGTCCTGTGGGGCAGTCACTTACACAGTGACCTTTTTCAGTTAAAATTCCATTGAAAATTCAGCCTCTCCATTTACAGTGGCCACATAGCAATCATCCCACAGTTACATGACAATGGCAGGAGAGACCATTGTCAAAAAGGTTTCTACTGGCCAGAGCCTTTTCAGTCCTCATTATTCACCCTGGCTGGCTGACCTCTGTGCTACCTGACTTTTCGGTGCTTATGTTGGCTGCACCTACAAATCCCATAGCCTCTTTGGTTGTACAGCTCTGAGATTCAACTTGGAATCGAAACTTATTTCAGTTGAAGTTTCTTGGATACCCTGCTATGTATGAATGTGTACATGGTTTTTGTTGTTGCTTGGCGCTTTGCTTTTGAAAAGTAAGCAGCGATGTGAGTGTTATAAAAATTGGAACTAGAGCTCTATGAAGCTAATAGAGTAGGAGTGAGAAACTGTCAAAAGAATTGGCCTGGTCACCCTGTACATCAATGACAAGCACACAGGATGTTGGGTGGGAGAGATTGAGAGGTGAGCAACCTTCCAGGTCAAACCTAGCATCCTGTTAGGATGCAGGAGGCAGATCATATTTAAGCCAGTCACTTGCTTTGATTCTGTATCAGACAAGCATTAATAGGTAAATAATTGTCATAGGCATGCACGAATATTAAATATTCATTATGACCTCGATATCTCATATACACATCACACACACACACTTTTAACTTGCAAGAGCATGATGCAGACTCCAGGAGACCAAGCATTTGGATGGGCTGCATATGAATTCAAGTTGTGTTTTAGCAAATTTTAAGTGTTATTTCCTCTGTTTTAGTTAACTTGCCTTGAGCTCTTGTGCTGCAGAAATACACGGAAAATATGAGAGGATCCCAAAAGAATCTTCTTGGCAGAGAGAAGATTGTGTTTTTCGGCCTGCATTTGTTCATTGTCGTCACTACCTACATTTTTTTCCCGTGTTCACATATGAAAATAATTATTTCTCAGTTCAGGAAGTCAGTTTTAATCGTTAGTTTGTCTTCAAAGGATCCAGCACCCTTCGGAAGGTCAGACTAGCTCTAAAGACAGCTGGCAAAACCTCTGGCCTGGGAGTAATCTGTGTTTTCCTGATGGGTGGGTGACCTCTTAGGACATGTACTTGAGTCCTGGGAATAAGGAATATGTCCCATCTGAGATGGGAGGGAACTAAGAGCTGGGAATGGACTCTGAAGAGAAACAGATCTCCCTGGCTGGCTTCCCTCAGTCTTACCTATCATCCGTGTTCAA